GCTGGCAGTATCCACACACTGCTGAAGAAGAACAATGACCACGCCAAGCTTTTACTCCATGCCAAAGACATGGTTGATGCAAATTCAAAGTATTCAAGCGTTCACTGCCGGAAGGTGTTTTGTATTTTGTATGATGGTAAGGAGCGAAAATGCATATAGCTGCATGATGGACCTTTTATTAATCATTGCATTTGTAGAGATGAGCATCACGTTGGATATCTTGGTCAATGCAGAGGATGTCTATCTATCAAATCATCGCCAACGACGTTGCAGAACGGCTATTATTGCGATTTTGCTTTCCCTTCATCACTCACAATGCCAAAGGTCAACGTGTTGCATCATGTGGTCGCTCAACATTTGACAAACAAAATGATATGTATTTTCGTGTCCTTGTCAAGTATCGGATTAGAAGTCATTGCCTACTACAGAAAAAGACGATCACCTTTCACGAGCCATTCACCGACACAAGGTGCGTTTATTACAAGATCGGCTGTTTTCACCATGTGGACACGTGTTTGAGACGCTTTGAGCTTTATGATCAGTGGCATAGTTGGAACTTGATAAGGCACCCACCCTTTCACTGTCTCCAAACCGACATCATCATGACTTCAAGTCTTTTCCATATTTCTCTTTGACCGATCACCATACTGAAAACGCTGCGTACTTTCTTATGTGGGGCCGAGCAAGTGATACCGTGCGTTTGGATGCCGTACTAGTCCTATTTATAACGTATGACCTATTATAAGTAGTCCCATCGTTAGTATTATTGAATTGTAGTCATCTCTATCACATTTGATACCCCTACATTATCTAAACCAAGCAATAAAATCAATGTGGATAGCATACGTTTGACCGACAATAAGCTTGTGAACCATGCATATAGAGTTTGAATGGCAAAAACTGCTGATCTTGGTTACTTCTCCTTTGCCCAGCAATTCAACTTTCGGAGATGAGGGACGCGACCCAGAATATGCAACGATCGCAGCAATTCGCTGACTACGCATTTACGTTCTTAGATATATAAGAGGCCTTCTATGCAAATGGAGGCATCCGCCTGCAACGTTCTTTAATCCCTTTCTACAAGGTTGATAACGGCTATAAGCACTATCCATGATATTTTTATTTCAAATGATCAAATTTAGTCTTGAATTTTCCATTCAACAACCATATGGCGTGATGCGAAAGTATGTAAAGCATAACGAGCCCTCTTCAAGTTTCATTTCATGGTGCGTAAGCAAGGCTTCATGCTTTAGTGTTGGCAGCAAGATCGAACCACAAGGGCCTCTACAGAGGTATTTGCCATATGACTGGATCGCTTTCGAGAATGTCTAGGTGATAGATTGATTGGGTGGAAGGATGTTAGGTTAAACATAAAAAGGAAAGTGGGGAGGCCTAAGCCAAATGCTGATTTATTTCCTAAAGTGGGTCTTGAAAGCAGCTGTCAAAAAAGTAGTAAAAGTGTGTGCATGGTTACACGTGTGTTGACTTGGAGATGTATAGTTGCATCTTCTCCATCCCCGGTACGCTATTTAAAACAATCCGTTGCTAAGCAAGCAAGTGCAATTGCAATGATAAATTAGATAGCCACGTACGTAATAATGATGGTTTGCCTGCTTTTGCCCTGAAAACTTCCGACATAATCCACGCCACGAGAAAAGATGAAAAAGAGGGCTTTGACGAGTTGTGTCCCAACCCAATGTATCCCAGCAGTTTATCCTTGTCTTTGTTCTCACACAACCTTACTCTTTTCTCCTTCTCCTTCTTCTTCCCCTCCTCCTTCTTTCTCTTGCGTTTACAATCGTTCTACTCTGCCCAGAGGGCAGCACTGCCAGCCATCACACCTCCAATTCAGCATGCAGTTTGTGATCCGCACGTCAACTTGTCAGACAATATGCACGCTTCACCATTTGCAGCTTATGCTCTCGTTCATTGCTGTCAAACATTCCCATGTCCAACAGATTCTGGGTAACTTGGAAACTACCTCTTGTGATAGTAGTGAAGGCTCTTTATTGATAGAGGATATAGGTTTTATACGCGACGAAGGTGTCTACAGCGAGGATGGGCCTATCGATTTAGACACGTTTCTTCTACAGCTACAAGCATTGATTGCTCGGCTACGATACACCAATCCATTGATGGACCTGGAGATTGCTTGGGATATCGTGAATAAGAATGAATCGGTATGCATTCTTTTGGGAGGAACTTCAGGATGTGGCAAATCCACGTTGGCGAGTCTACTTGCTCATAGGTAAGGAAGGAAAAACGGGAGGGAGGGAGGAGTAGGATTATGATTTTGTACAAGGGAAGGAGGAGATAGCTTATTGTTGCGCAGGATCGGCATCACAACTGTACTATCGACAGACCATGTGCGCAGCTTGCTCCGCAGCTTTGATCCAAAGAAAAAGTCGGCCATCTTGTGGGCGTCTTCTTACCATGCCGGTGAATCCTCAAATGATAACTCTACCGATGAAGGAGTGGTTACTGGATATGAAGCACAAAGTCAATTGCTATTCGACAGCCTCGATCAAATGATTACCGGTTTTCGTCAACGAAAGGAAAGCTTAGTCATTGAGGTAAACAGCGACCACCACACCCAACCTCTTTTGGAAGCAACAAATAATCTGACGCACACGTGTGTGACAGGGTGTAGGATTATCAGTGGCCAACATTAAACGTCTCGCCGAAAAGCATCCCAATTGCATCCCACTTATTGTTTACATTAGCAACGAGGTAGGCTAATGATGATAATGTATGTATATAGGGATCGTTACTTACATGTTTCAATATAGCAAAAGCACACTGAAAGATTCGCCATTCGAGCCAAATACATGACCGTCGCCCCTCGATCCAACAAGTATATACGCTATTTTGATAACATACGATTGATTCAGTCCCATCTCTGCCAACAAGCGGACGAATGGATGGTACGTATACGTGGAAAGCACGAGGTGACGATGAGCAAGGTTATTTATTGGGATACTACTAGATACCCAAGGTGGATAACACCAATGTGGATAGGAGTTTGGCTATTCTACATATGACTGTGGTAAGGTATTTTTTCATTGATGAGATGGCGATCCATGTTAACGCTTGCTTTCATGAACCAGCTCCATGTTCTAGCCCGCTTAAGAGTGCAGCATAAGATATTCACACCGCATCCAGTGACACACAAATTCGACATTGTGCATACCGAATTCGCCAAGGTACACCACGCTACCTGGAGTTCCAAGCAAATGCTTAGGCAAATACGACAAAATGTAAGTGTTGTCAATGTGATGGATATACCATGGGTGTTAACGCGTGTTGTTGCAGTCATTACGTGCACGCAATGACACATCAAGGATATCAACTACCACTACCACCACCAAACATGAAACAGAAGGACGAGAACAACAACAACAACGACCAAAACAAAGCAACAATCAAGGAGCATCATCCACAAATACAATCATGTCCAAGCCTTCAAGTATGCTATTAGCATGTCAAGCGCGTTGGAAAGGTGTTGTACGATCATGGACAAATCGTTCATAGTGCGCACTTTATACATTCATGCCTATTTTTTCTTCGCATTGCATATTCCTTTTTGTATTTTAAAGTATTCATTCCCATCCCCCTCTTTCCCTGTATTGTGATCGTGGGTCCAACAAGATCAACGACGACATTAATAATTCCTCAATGGCACTTGTATCATATTACACAAAAGATGACTATCTATTATCGGTGATGGTTCGGAATAAATGGCTATGATTAGCGTGTTATATCGGTATTCGTGGTAGTAGATCGACGGCATCTCTATAATGGGATTCTTCCATGGTGACACAAATTGAGCAATAGGTTCAGGGTTTTGTGTGTTGGCATCCAAAGCAATAGAGCGACCGGGTAAAAGGATAACAAAATCTCACTTTGAAAATCTTTTACGTATGTCATTGAAAGGGATGTCATTCTATAATTGGGAACTTTTATGTTGTCAACTGCAAAAAGGTCGTTATTGGGCATCTATGATGAAAACGTGTCTTGAGTGTATCATGGTGGGGGTGGAATGTGATCTAGCCTCGTTACACGGGAGTTGTAAGGGGATCCAACCATAAATGGATGACTACCATGCTGTACAGCTTAAAGTCAATGTGCTCAAAGAAGAACGGGTGTTTATTGTTGCCTCTTTCTTTTGCTCATGCCGACCCTTAGCCGACACGGTGCCCAATGACTCCAATTCAACGACAGCTTGTTGCCATCGATGAAGGCTTCTCATCTGGTGGAGTTGGATCCTCTGAAACACCCGATTCCTGCATCGGTCCACCGACTCCTTCCTTTGACAGTACAACTCTATCCAACAATGGGGATCCTCCTAGCCATGTCTCTTTTTCAGACTACCAACCCCACTTCCATTCCAAAATGACGAGAACCGAATGGCTCACACCCGAGAATAAGAGGTAGACGACCAAGTAGCAATGACGACTTGTGCATGTCAACTGACACTGTGCGAGGGTTTATTATAGCAAGGCACCATCGTCCATTTCATCACGCTCATCTGACAAGCAGCCATTTGTCCAATCAATCAGTCATTATGCATCATCGATTTCATCAGCCATTCGACGCGTACATCCCCTTGATGATATTCGACAAGAGCAATCATCCGACGAAGATGATGATGACGATCCAGTAACATCATCATCAACAACAACAAGACAACCACCACCACCACAATCAAGTATTCCCATCATTCGAAGAGAACCACCCACCAATACCAATACACCAGCATCATCATTTCTTCAAGTACCCAAACCAGCATCATCAATGCAACAAAGTGTGACATCACTTGCATCCGCAACCTCACGTTCAACAGTACCCCTGACAGCTGTGGATGAAATGTCGACTACAGGAGATGGCATCTTGATGAGAGGAAAGCTCCTGTGTGCCATTTACATGAAATGGTTCAGTCGGCGTGTCTCTATGAGTGAAGCAACCCAAGAGCATTTGCGATTGCGTCAAACACGACTTAGTTGGCGGCAATTTGAAGCAGTTCTCAGGCACGATCGACTCCAATTGTACCTGGTTACGGTAAGTCAACAAAGAAATTGCTATACAAAGAGTTACTCATTGTATTATTCTATATAGAATCTTGTCATCAAAACACGACGACTTGCCCATACGATTTATCTTCGACCCCAAAGATCCAAGAACATTCACAATGTCCGTTTGAGCCTTGTATCACCTTTGGATTTCACTTGGCGACTTGAATTTGAATCATGCCAAGGGCGCACGGTCCAGTTTTACTTTTGCTCACGTACCGTTCCACAATCACAAGCTTGGTATATGGCTCTTTACCGACACTCCACCATCATCACTACACCACTACCATCGTTGATCGATTTGTATATACCCTCTTACAACAACTTACTGATACGCCTACCACTCGCCCAATGTGACCTCAAGATCAATAATCATAATATCCGTGCACATGACATCAAACGTGCTGTTCTTTCCTTGATGGAGCGACAAGATATCAAGCCTGATCACTGGACAATGAAAAATGTGCAATTGTGCTGGCATCGAGAAGGACAACAATACCAATGGATTCCAGATACCAATTTCATTGTGGATCCTCAACTCATTGAAAAGGTACATAAAGGGGGCGGTACATTTCATTTTATTTGTTTGTAAAATAGCAGCTGATGTATAAAGTACATAGACCCATACATTGCAATTAAGATATCGACCACAACGACTGCGCCCTGAAGAAGTAAGTTTTCATTGGCTTTGATGTGTGGGGATGTTCTATTTATCATTGATAAATGTTGACATGTTAATGTATAGAATACGCCGAGACCTGTGATGGAAGGAGATCTTGTTTTACAAACCGATTTGCAAGGGAATGAGCTCAAGAATGCAAGATCAGTGTACGCCATGATTGAAGGGAATTTGATGTTTTTGCTGGATCCGATCAAGGCATCACGACCCCCTGGTGCTGAAGAACCCAATGATTCACCTCGATGGTCGTTTGCTCGTATATCAGGGGCAACTCTTATCTCAGCACGGGCCAAGCGGGGTTTTCGATCCGTTACCCGCTTTTTCCATCACAACAATAATGAGCAGATATCAGTGCATGGTGCCGAGAAAGAATGTCGACGACGTGCCAAGAATATCACCCATGCTTTTGCTGTATTGGATCTTACACGAGGAACACGCGTACGTCGACGACAACAAACAAACGTTGAACAAGTCATACAACAACGAGCGTTTGAGATCCATATCGACAATGTTGTTTTGCAAATGGAAGCACCCACCATGCACACCATGTTTGAATGGATACAATGGATACACAAACTATTACAAACACTTGGACGGCAGCTTAGTCGAGACGTGGTTCCATTGATTGGCCAGGCACGATTAGGTTTCAGGATTGAGCGACGTTGGAAAGGAGTCCTGGTAATGTCTGAGATCTGAAACATAGATGAGAGAGGGGAGGTAGAGAGCACGTCATATTGATTTTTACATTACCTATTTAGCACGCTGGCATGTTGTATGTTCGTCAGGACTACTTGGACACCTTCAAGCAACGCTATTGTGTATTGATACCTGGCAAAAAATTGGTTTTATTTCGTACCTGTCGACGTAAACGATGCTCTGGCGCAGCACAACAGCATTGGACATCTTATGAGCATTTCGCTACGCTCAAATTGGATCGTGTCTATATCCATGGAGACGATGCTCAGCAACATGAAAGCAAGGCCACACGACAACCACCAAGGATCTATTCAGATGGCACCGTTGTATCCAGCCAAGATAGTAGCAGTAATGCTGAGTGTTCCTTTGTGATTTGGCAAACCGCTCAAAGGCACATCTTGGTCACGTTACGCGAACGACTTTCGACATTCAAATTTGGGCATCGACTTGGACGTAAAGGAACCGTATGGGTTTTCCTTGCTCGTAGCGAAGAGGAAAAGTCTGCATGGATGTGGGCCTTACATCAAGCCATTGAATAGCAAGTCTCGTGACGATAGCACTGGACAACGCCTTGGAGGAGGTTGAAAAAAAGCTCATTTTACTCATTTCTCTCACGGACCCACACTTTCAACTCTCTTTTCTCTCTCTCTCTTTTCCCATTGTTTTCTTTGGTCCCACCTATATACACACACCCACACATCTGCTTGCAGTTTTGTACTACACAAAAGATTCATCATGTATGTAGTGTGTCAAATTCATATAGCTGCCACCTTCATCATTGTACAAATAACATCTATTCACATTGGCAATAATATGAAAATAGAGTAATGCCATCCACGTCTAATGTAGCCCCACGAAAGATTGGCCATGTCAAGTTTTTTAATTCAGTCAAGGGTTACGGCTTCATTATCCCTGACGATAGCACTGCGGATCAACCTATTGTTGAAGGTAGATGACAACCTACGCAAAGTGTTTCATCTTGAGTCACCCCCTCTTCCTCCATATCTAATCCGTTCCTTTTGGCTTTGTCCTTTACAGTGTTTGTACACCACACAGCAATCAACGGCAATGGATTCAAAAGTCTGGCCGAGGTATGCTTACCATTTATGGACAATTGGTGATTGATCTACATGATAACCTGATCACTCTCCTTTTATCACTTACAACAATAGGGCGAGGAGGTAAATAAATATAGGACGTGGTGATAATGGTGTGGTCGCGTTAAACAGACCCTGCAATTTCATCTCCCCAAATTCCCCTACCAACACCCACATTCCATCCATTTTTTAGGTTGAGTATGATATGATTCAAGGCCCAAAAGGCATGCAAGCTGCCAATGTCTCTGGTCCAGGTGGTGTTCCTGTTCAAGGTGATCCAAACGCTCGTCGACCTTACCAGAATTATCACCGGTAAGCTTTTTATCTACTACTTGTTGTCTCTTTCTAAACGCTTATGAAGTAGGCGATTCCAAAATAATCGTGGCTCATCCGCAGCAGCCGTAGATGGAAGACAATATGGTAAATAGATACAATAATCCATGAATGCGTAGTAAGGGACATTGTATAGGCTGATGCATAGGTTGTTGCTAGGTTACCCCACCATGTATGGAATGATGCCACCAGGAGGAGGAGCTGCTGCACCACCACCACCTTATGGATATACAGCGTTTTATGGTCCATATCCTGCTGCTGCTGCTGCTGCACCTCCACCACCTCCACCACAAGCAGCAGCCATGAATGGCCAAGATAATAATGGACCCAATTCACCCCCAGCATTATTCCGACAACATGCACATCATCACCATCCACATCATCAACAACAACCTATGTTTGCATATTCCTATCAGCCTGGCATTTCTGGTGCTGCGGTATCTGATACATCAGCTGTGTATCCTCATTCACCCCCTACACCCATGGCTATGTATTATCCTTATCCACAACAACAGCCATATTTTATTCCATCCACAATGCAGGGTTTCGTATCGGCCTCAGCATCGTCAACTTCATCTTCCAATCAAAGTGCATCCAGCATCTCAAACAACACAACACCAACATGCGAACATGGACCATCAACCAACAACAAGCAAGCACAAGCACCAGCAGCCGTTCATCAAATGGCTGTAGCCGAAATCCCCACTTGAGAAGATGATGACACTACTACACAATGATCTGGTCCTCCTTACAAGTCCCCTTTTACAATCATCCTGTCGTATTATTATCACAATGTTGTGTTTAGGTGTATACATTGACGGCTGGTGCTGTCTGTTTTAACCTATTTCTCCTCTTCCAATACACCACCTCCCTTTTCATCCATCCCACCACCATCATCACTACTACCGTGATTGTTAATCCCAAGCAAAAACACAACACCTTTGCCAAGCCCCGTTCCCTACTACAATTGGAAAATGAAATTGTCTTTTGGAAAAAGATTATGCAGACAATAAAATGTTGTTGTCCTTGTAAACTCCCATCTATTCAATCACATGCATGCTAATAACAACAAAAGAAGGGGACCTTAATATCGTTTTGCTTTACCAATGTAATGGATATCAAGCTGCATGGCAGTTTTTCTTTGTCCTACTATATGCACGATCTCCTTGCATGCGATTGGCAACTTTCTCCTTTATACTTTATCAGGCTCACATGTCTTTCATACATCCAAAAGTCACCAGCTGTAGTAGTAAAAAGAAGGATGAACTTTGTTATAATAATGGAACAACATTCAGTGTCTATCATGACCCTCTTCTGATCTAATTTGGGAAAAGAACATTCTAAAAGGGATAGGATGTATCGACATAGGTGATAGATGGCACTGTAAATCCACTGAATCCATGCGAGGCAATGGCATACGTATAAGCACCCATGTGGGGCCAATAGAGCCAATCGCCTACTTGAAGATCGGGTAGCTTGGCGGTCTGTGTGATGCAATCGTAAGGTGTACAGGTGGGTCCCCATATGCTGCATTCGTATTTTGGTTCATGTTCCAAAGCAATCATGTCTTGAGCTTGAATCAATTTGCCGTTCCTTGTCATCACTACATATCCATAATAGGGTCATCATGCTAAGCACAGATCCACTTTTTTTTTGACACACAGACTTTACTCCGCTCGCACGTACCTTTAGCAACCGGTGATAAATTCTTGGCAGGAACACCACCGAAAAGACCAAAAACACCATCCAGCGTATAATCTATAGATGCATTGACTTGTTATAGAGGACACTCAACATGATCTCTTTTTACTTACACATGATGTGTTTTTGCTTTTGTGGAGTGAGTGTGCTGCGTTTGGCCATGATGCGTGTGCAAGTAGTGAAGGCCGTAGAGACGTAGAATCGACCTGGTTCGGCAATGACACGGATATGGGGTGGGAACAAAGAATCCAATTGCTCGCGGAGTACATTGGCAACATTCTCAAAAGTGGTTTGTCCTTCAAGACCGACACCTGGGAAACCGCCGCCCAAATCAAGAATAGTCATGTTGTGTCCCATGCTGGCTGCTTGATCAAATACACTGCGAGCACTAGAGAGTGCATCGGTAAAGGCCGATGCATCCATACAACCGGTCCCGATATGGAAGCTATGATGATGATAAAGGATCCAACACAATAATCAGCATCTTTTCCCACACATGCCTCTATGATGTTAAACCATTCTACATACCTTACACCAACAACAGGAAGCTCTAACTCACGAGCCTTCATCAATAATCCATCCACCGATTCCATGTGAGCTCCAAATTTGGCACTGACATTGCTGTAAGCTTTTGAGTTGTCCGTAAAGATTCTAAGAATAAGCTCGGCTTCGGGATAGGATTCTTTGATCTTATACAGCTCATCGATGTTGTCAAACGTCATGAGCGAAACATGGTGCTTGGCAGCATATTGAATATGCGTCACAGGTTTGGCAGGATTGGCAAAAACGATGCGACTAGGATGAACTTGAAGTTGCTCCAAAAGAGGTTGCATCTCAAACTTGCTTGCACAGTCAAAGCCAATACCCAAAGAAACAAGGAGCTTTAGGACTTGAGGGTCGTCATTGCATTTGACGGCTACATACGATGTACATGATTATTGCATATGCATGCGTTAGGATCCATGGCGAGAGAGAGAAAAAATAAAAGATGGCACATACCATAAAATGGTTCAACCCGAGGCAAGTGGGTCTTCCAACGCACATGTTGCCGGTATACATCACCGAGATCACATACAGTAAAGCATTCATCATCCCCATCAGACCATTTTTCAATCTTTTGTTGCATTGTTTGATAAACCATGGGTTCAGGTAAAGCATCCTTGCTTGATGGGGAGCGATCCAACGACTTGCCATTAGTTGCTGTTGTGTCCTTTTCTTTTGATGATGGAGGACTTTCAGGTAAAAAGGCCTTGTGGATAGGGAAGTTCACTTGGCCGGTGGGTGATGATGGTGCATCAATTGTATCAGCGTCAGAAGGCATAATGGATAATGTACGATAGAGAAAGTTTTAAGCGAAAGCAATCCGAAAAGTACTTTGAAATACTGCTTTTATAACCATGACAAAGAAACAAGTGACTCTTTATTCGTCGTCGGATTGTCCTAGGCTTTCGTTGTTTCCGATTAGAGGGGGTTGCATACAAAGGAGCTGGGGGGAGGGGGAAGTTGTGATCAGGTGCTCTTGATGATTGACGTACAATGAAAGTATCATTGATGAGGGTTTGGTGGATCTTTTTTATCCCTGACCACAAACTTAACTTTAAGGCCGAGTGATTCTTGTTACCTAAAACGTACTCAAAATTGCTTCTTTGTCTTTAGGTGATGGTGAAGCAAGGAGATGATCTCGACTCGATTACGGATAATCCCTTTCTTTGGTTCGGGAAGCATGAACGATGCAGAATCAAAGAAGGATCACGCTGCATCTGAAGTTGGTTTTGGTATTGGTACACCACATACATAATACAGCGCGTACATGTACAATGTATTACACACACCACACCAAAATCAATTATACCACCGTGATCCACCAATATGGGAACATTCGTTCAAGCCGCTGTGTACGCCACAGCCATGAAATCGATCACTTGCATCCTCACTTGGTCATCTACCCCTTTTACACAAGGTGGCCCAAGAGATCTTTGTACGACCCCGCTCACTCTTTTGACAACCGCGAAACAACGAATAGCAAGGCGATACTTTTTCCCACGTTACTTGTCTCATCATAATCACAGCATGATATTGTCATACGTTGCTAGATCGGGTGAACTAAAATCAACGTTCGTCTGTTTGCATGTCCTTAGATATGCAGGTCTTTGATGCATGAGATCGGTGTGCATGACGTCTTGTCAAGATCACAATCAAAGGCATTGCTATCAGCAAGAAAGGGGACCAGGCGATCGATGGTATGACCTACACGATAAAGTTTGCTCGGCTGCATGTTATGGCGTGAGGATGATAAAAGGCATGACGCTTTGATAATATCGCAACATAGCATAGCTGCACAGCAACAACATTGATAATGATCACCAGCAGGTAAAACATTGTGCCAGTGGGATGGAAGAAGGTTTGTCCTCTTTAAAAAAACATGGCTTGAACTACACACTACTACTCATTCGACTACTCAATGACCCTGAAAAGCTGATCGTCTTTTGTGTATCGATGCTCCGCTAGATACAGCAATGTGCTCTTTATTAGAAATGTGGCATCAGCTTTCTCGCATTAAAGAGTATATATGATAGGGTGATCTCCGGCATACCATGCATACATATTCTGCAGCAGCTTCTATCGTTGCGTTAATATACATACCATCCCCCCCTTTTGTAATTTTAGCTGATTCCATGGAAAAAGCCAGACATGCTATAAAGGACATGGCCATTCTCTACTCACTTGCGAGTGTCTTAACCAAGGGCACCATGTGGTTTTATAACTACTCGATCGCGTTGCTAGTCATTTTAGTGAGCGTTGTCAGTGCAGCTTCTTCGAATCTTCCTGTTGTCAACAACGATCGTACATATGCCACTACAACAACACGCACGGTCACATCACATAGCACCATCATCCCCCCTCCCTTGTCGACAACACACATTTACATGACCACGGTAGTCCACGAGGGGAACTATAATGAGACGCTTGTGGCATCCTTTGCTGTATCAGGTACAGCCTTGCCTGCAACGCTTCCTTCATACATGTCCAGTTATTTCTTATCAGTATTGTAAGTCCATAAGCAAGCATGTATAGAAATGCTATGATCATTCAACAAAGATTCTCGTTTTGATTTTCTAGCCACAACATGGAAGGTAAGCGTCTTGCTCCTCGCCTTGTATATACACATCCTCATTCACAATCCATCCACAGAATCTGTTAGTGCTATACTGCATAGTCTTATGACCGCTTCAAGCCATTCGGACTCAATCTCTGGTCATATTGCACCACCAGCTACCAGCCTTCCATCCCCCACATCGCCACCACCACACTCTGGGGTTTAGCGTCGTGGCTGTTTGTCCTATTTCAAATTGAACGTTTCTGGGAATTTCGTTATAGTGTTTAATAATGATCCAAAGAAAATGTCAAATCGATGCATAGTATTGATGAATGAATTCATGGGTTGGAAGGGAATGCTAACATGGAGGAGGATGTGGGGTTGTCAATTACTCGTCTGGATTGGCATAGGAGGATGCAGGTTCCTTGTTGGCACCTTTTCGGTTGTTTGCTAGCTAATAGAGATAAGAAACATGCACATTAATAACCTCTACTTTTAGCCACATGTAAAGATGTAAAACTTACTCGTTCCTTTTGTAGTCGATCATTCTTTTCCTTAAGCTTATCCTTTCTTGCTTGACTCTTACCACCACCACCAGCTGTCAATTCAACGTTGATTTGTTTCTTCTTGAACTTGGAACGATGCAATGCAAGAGCAGCCTAATCATAGTAGGAAGTAGAATAAGTACCCGAAAAGAAAACCGCCCTCTCCCCCCCAGATGCAGGGTCCTCGATCCACAAACACTTACATTTAAGGTTTCACTATCCTTGAATTCAACAAATGCAAATCCTTTTGGCTCGTTGGTGTCCTTGTGTGTCATCAAACGCACCGTAGGCAGCTCTCCAACCGATTCAAAATGGGCAGCCAGTTCCTGGCTAGTGGTATCCTTGGGCAAGTTGCCGACAAACAAAATGAATCGCTTCCCACCATCGTTATTGCCTTTGCCACCTCGTGAACGTCTCTTTTTCTTTGCTGGTTTATCTTGTTGAGCATCGTCATTGGCGCGTTTGGTCGAAGATCGATCAGCCTTTTGTTGAGTTGTGGATACTTCTTGTGGTTGATCCTCTTTCACATCGGATTCAGGAACGGCATTGGCTTCTGAGAGAGCATCACTCTCCTTTTTGCGATTGCGGAATGCAGCGGCTTTCTTTTCTCGTTTGGTGAGTTTCTTTTCTGGCATAATATAAAAAGTGAGGGAGGGAGGGAGAGACAAGAGGATGTCAGTGTGCCACGGCAACAAGCCACAACCGTTGCATTTGAAATTATGATCTTCCGCCCAATTCCACTTATGCAAGTGCCCTGCTGATCACCCTTGTTGCTTCTAAACGTCATTTTATTAAGGCTCTAACAAACTTTGAAATCAAGGTTGGATTACCAATGTCAACAGCGTATGGAAGAGATGAGATATTAGACGTAATGTGGAATCCAAAGTTACTTCTTGTAAACATCTAGTAGATGGCATGTAAGAAGGTCCTCAAGAAGGTGAAATAGCTCATAAACTTGGAGGGTTGAACGACTAGTTTCACACATAAAAGATACATTTAGAAATGAGCATCATGGCTTGACAAGGGATAGTTGAATGTATGGAGAAAATGAGTCAGCTAAATGGGAGCTATTGTTCACGAGTGCATAACATTGATTGATTATATGGATACCGTTGCCATAGTGAGGGAGAAGGGTGGTGTCGCCATGGCAAGCGGCGATACAAAATCCGATTGGGCGGGAGCCATGTGCGCTGCGGATGTGCAAAGGTCGCAAAGGCGGCACATTAAGCGATCTTTCTCTCCCCATTAACGTCGAGACAATGTCGAAAGTAAGTAGAATACGATGATGGATAAGAGATTTATTGAAAAGGATACATGCAAACGATGGATGGATGAATCGAAGCAATGGATGGATGAATGGATGAATGGGGCGGATTGAGATTTTGGAGACACCAAGTCAACTAACCTTTTGACCCTTCCTCTTCTTTTTTTTCTCTACAATGCAATAGTTTCACGAGTACCAGGTAAATAAATGCGACTATTCGATTCTAAAAGCAACACGTATTCGACGATGGTATTCATACTCGGAAATGATAATAGGTGGTCGGCCGTAAGCTCCCCTCTGAGAAGGAGCCCCATCCCAAGCTCTACCGCATGCGTGTGTTTGCTCCCAACACCGTTGTTGCCAAGTCCCGTTTCTGGTACTACTTGAAGAAGCTTCGCAAGGTCAAGAAGGCTGCTGGCGAAATCGTCTCTGTCAACGAGGTAAGATAAATCAATACAATGTGAGGCGAGGGAGGAGGATAAAGATTATTTACATATGCAATGTTCCTTCTAGATCTTCGAGAAGCACCCTGAGCAAATCAAGAACTTTGGTATCTGGATCCGCTACGATTCTCGTTCCGGTACCCACAACATGTACAAGGAATACCGTTCCATGTCCCGTGTTGAAGCTGTCGAGAACTGCTGTAAGTTGAATGAGGATAGCATAGTGGATGATGGATGATGTATACTTACAAGAAGATGTGGATAATAGACCAAGATATGGCTGCTCGTCATCGTGCTCGTTTCTCTTCGGTCCAAATTATGCGTGTTGCCGAAGTTAAGAGCGCTGATATTCGTCGCCAATACGTCAAGCAGCTCTTGGTTCCCAAGCTTGCTTTCCCTCTTCCCCACCGCATCCAGCGTGTCGACAAGTCCCAACGTCGCTTGTTCATTGCCAAGAGACCCACCACCTTCTACTAAGTGTTGTGTGCCTCTTTATCCTCAGCAATGGAATAAATGCTTTGGTCTCGTGCGTTTTCTGATCATTTAATACGTGTCTTTGTGTCTTTATTGATTGGGGGAGAAAGAGATATCGGGAAGACAAACGAATGGGGTAACTCAGAGGAGTTGTCATTGTCCCCCTCTTTTGTGTTATCACGTGAGCAACAAGGATTGGGGGAAGTTGTGTACATATTTCATCAGGTAACACAGACAGATCCACTTTTTTTTTCTCTCTCTCTTCTTCTACTTCTTCCAAACCACTGCTGCATGTTTCAAAGGAGTTGTCCTAGGCGTGCATCCAAATGGGCATTGGGTGTCTCTGCTGTGGCTGCAACAACATTGGCTACTCTCTATTCTTCTCACAACAAACCTATCCGCTCTCCTCTTCTTTTACCAACCGTTTATGCTGAAGCCAACAATTCACCCGATCGATCCCTCCATGACAAGAATGACAACAACAATAAGGATAAAGTCAACGAGCTTATCGGGAACCTCTTTCGGCGATCTGACATTGTACGCATGATGCACGTGCCTTCCATTCCTTCCATGACAGCCAAGCTACCGTCAACAGAGGAAATCAATGAGAAAATCGCCGAGTTGTATCCATCCTTCACCAGCCAGTTTGAATACCTCAAGCAAAGTTATGCGTATCTGTGGGATTTCCTTAGCATGGAAGACTTTCGCCATATGATGACCGAGATGGAGAAGGAAGCGAGTGATGAGAAAGCGTATCCAGAAGTTGCAGAGGATGCTCATGTCAGGTATTCATTCTTCACGTTGTCCGTGCGCATGTTCGTTCGTCCTTGTCTCACATGGCGGAATCTAGAATGGGTGTTTCGTTATCGGAGGGCGAGCAAGCCTTCTTACAAGCACGAAAAACACGCCAACGGGAAGCATTTGCAAATTTCATTGGTGTTCCTGTCAATCAAGTCGAAATACCCGATATCCCGGTCACTGGTATTGCTACAAGGTATGTAAGGAAAGGAGAAGGGGCAAATGGGATGCTGAAGAATTGACATCATCATGCAAATAGTGGTGGAGGATATCGTGCCATGGTGGGAAGTGCTGGCTATCTCAAAGCAATGAAGGATACTGGTGTTTTGGATACAGTGACTTATCTTGCAGGTAAAGAAAGGGTGGGTGGGGTGAACCATCATCGGCTATTGTGATCCGAACCACTAACTTGGGAATGAATTGCTGTAAAGGTGTTTCTGGATCGTGTTGGGGATTAGCTCAGCTCTACAGCCCGCTGACAGATACAAACTTTGAGACCATGAAGGATCATTTGAAGAGTCACGTGCATACACATCTTGCCAATATGAACAACTTTATCAGCATTCTTCAAGCAGCACCACAAAACAGCAAAATCCTTATGCAAGGCATCATTGAACGTTATTATCAACAAAATGGAGATATCAATCTTGTCGACATCTTTGGCATGATGCTTGGTGGAACATTGTTGACGAGGAAAAAGACAATATCAAAAGAGGAAAAGGATGACAGCACATTGGAAGAACCGGATGGCACCCTTATCAAGCCTTTGTTATTGGATCGTAAGACCATGAAGTTATCGAATCAGAGGAAGTATATCGAGGATGGATCACTGCCGATGCCCATTTACTGTGTCGTACGTCATGATATTGAAAGTGACCCTGATGAAGGAGATGTCTATCAATGGTTCGAGTTCACGCCTTTTGAAATGGGATCAGAGGAAATCAATGGTAAATTGATAAGGGAGGCTGTGTGTGTTGCTTATCATGCATGTCTAATACACCACGTAATAGCTTGGATTCCAGTATGGGCTTTTGGAAGAAAATTTGAACAAGGCAAAAACATCGAGCGCCTTCCAGAGCAAACAATGGGAATCATGATGGGGTAAGTAAGGGCTTTATACATGTATCATGAGGTATGGAAACTAATCTATGGCACAAATAGTGTGTTTGGATCAGCATTTGCAGCAAGCCTTTCGCACTTTTATCAAGAGATTCGAAGCTTTGTACCATCCTCAGCATTGGAGAAAGCAGATGGGCTTTTGCTTCAGTATCGTGATTCAATGTCAGTGTATCATCCTATTTCACCAGCATGGTTCCCCAACCCATTCTATCAGCTGCATGTTCAAGCATGGACACCTGTCATTGATCGCCTTATCAACTCCAAACGGCTATGTCTTGCTGATGCTGGTCTTGACAACAATATCCCATTCTACCCACTCTTGCGAAAAGGCCGTGATGTGGATGTAATCTTTGCCATTGATCTCAGTGCCGATATCCAGACCGCTCCTCATTTCGAAAGAGCTGAAGGTTATGTTCGACGACGAGGCATTGAAGGATGGCCAAAGGGAGCGGGTTGGCCAAAAGACAGTGAACAAGGACTCGGCACATGCACCGTTTTTGCATCCGAAGCAACTGAAAAACCTGAACAGCACGTTAGCAGCAATATGGATCCTGATCATCACCCAGTGACGCTCGTTTATTTCCCGTTGATCAGTAATCCCAACTATGATCCTGATTTTGATCCACAAACAGCTGAATTCTGCAGCACATGGAACTTTGTCTACACCCCTGATCAGGTGCAACAATTGATGGGACTCGCTGAAACCAACTGGAAGGACAATGTCGATCATGTCAGAGACGTATTACGAAAAGTTTGGGAACGCAAACGAGAACAGAGGTTAGCACGAGAACGAGCCATCAGCCAACAGCAAATCGCACAAATCGCATAACAATAAAATCTCATCATTCCTTTGCATGCATCATTCAATTCACATGTCTTCGATTCAATGATCTCCTTTATTTGCAATGAGCTATATCAGCAAAGCATCTTTACCCAAATGTCAGCGTCAACAATCGATCTGCCTTTCTTCCAACGGTCCTTGATGGCAACGATGATCTTGATATTGTTATTGTTATTTTGTACTTTGGTTGGATACGTTCATGGAGGTGGGTTACCGTATGTATGGATGCGATGAAGCATTACATTAACATCCAAATACATATGTAGGCGGATTCACTATACGATGCTGGGAGCAACTCAATGGGTACGTTTACTCTCAAAAGGAAGAACAATGACGTTTAATAACACAATGGTTGTAGCAAAAAGAACTTGCTCCAGGATGGTACTTGCCAAAACATCAACAATCAACATGACGGCTGGCATACTTTTACGAACGATGATTGGGTTTACTACCCTGAACAAGCAGGTAGGCACACAATGACAATCATTTTTATATACTTGCGTAAACTTTGACGCTTTTCAAAAGTCAACATATCCATGTCGGAGGCTGTGGTGCATATCGTTATGGGTACGTTTGTCAAAGGAGATTTGGATCAACACAACACATCATTGATGAGAATGATGGATCTCTGTAGCTGGAGGATGCTGTGCACCCAATCGACTAAAACCTGCTGGTCGTATATATCAAGATTATGGAGAGAACTATAGAGAGGATGGCACCAAAATTGTCGGGATTGCGGATGCACCTCTCATCCAAACGATTGCTGTTGAAGGAGCGTATATGCGACACCTCACGGATGATCACGCCATGGTATGCATCCCCAAGTTATACTGCTGCGGTGGATCTATTAGAGCATAACCCTCTTTGTGATACTGCTAGAACCTCACGTTGTTGGCATCGGTGAATATGGCGGATAAACAAGCCGTTCTTTATGGTGCAGCTTTCGATCGTGCTGGTCTTATCACTTACAAGTACATGGATGCTGAACGTCGATTCTTGGGAAATCACTCGACAGGCGTATTACGAAATTCGGTGGCTGTTCCTGATGTAACCCTTCCTCGGCACACACGTTACATTGTAAGACACTCGAGAAGGGGAAAAAAGGGGGAAAGATTTGACAGATCATTGATCACCCTTTTTTTTGGGGCAGGAGATTTCGATCTATGGTTCACGTACAAATCCGCTTTGTTTCACCTATATATATGCTGGTCTTTATGTGGATCGAAAACAGGCAACGATTACACGCATATGCTCAAAATGTATGTCGACGACGACGTGGGGGAATTGAATTTCGGTTATGCTTACATAGTGTGGTCTTTGCATAGTGACGTCTACCTTGCAATACACAGCCCTTGGTAACTTTATCCTGATCCCAGCCTGTTTTGCTGTTATGGCATGGACCATGTCCACGTTTGAGTTTCCTCCGTAAGTGTGTGTATATGAGTATGCATTGATTCAACTTTTAACCTAATGAAGGATTCATTCTTCTTACATAGGCCCGTCCGATTTCTTTGTCGACAACCAACCCCGCTCATGACCTTGTGCGTCTTTATGATGATGGGTACGTTATTACATGCATATCCATAAGCCACGTGTGAAGGCTCATTCATGAGTTTTCATTGTTTACTAGGCTCCTTTATCTTTAGCCAGGCATGGAATCTTATTAATTCGCAGTCAGTCATCTTCGACGAGTGGCTACCACGTGCTGTCAAGATCATTGGTAAGTACCACACATCTACTTGAATCATTGTGTATTGGGGAGGTATTCATTCGAGTTATCTAGAACTGTTCATATCATTCTTTCTCTATGCTGTCTACTTTTATCCGGTAAGTTGCCTTTATTGAGGGAAGATGCAAAAGCATGATGATTTCTAACGCAGGGAGAGTGACATTCAAGGTATTCCTATGTTATTCTGCAAGCTATCGATCACGGGTGGCCAACATACTTGGTGTATACGTGGTGTTGGTACTTTTTAGTCTTCGCGTCGTCATTGATTTACCATCCTATGTCGTCACATACGCACGCGACGTGCAATATCTCGTATTCAATGTGGTGGCCGCCGTCCCTGCCATCTTGGCTTATGCTGCAGTACTTGGTTTCTTTATCGTGAGATCGTTCACTTTTCGCTCATGCGATACGTGCCGAATTTTATCGCTTGAAGTAGCAGACACCGAAGAGCAATACGTGCGTCGTCTATTTATGCCACATAATTTCAAGATCGCGGTATGTACATAGTATGATTTATGGAGACGAGTTCCAAAGGACTAAAGATCACATGTAGAGAACGATCAAACCTACCTTGTGGAGGCGTGTTTGGCTTTTGATTAGTCGGCAGCAGAAATTGAAACGACAAGGTATCTTTAGGATGACAACGGTGCGATGGCTTTTTGGGATCAATGAATTTGTGAGGTACATGGATAAGCGTGTATACATGAAAGTGCAATGTTGAATAACTCCTCCTTACTTTCCTTTTGGCTTTAGGATCCCACTCGCTGTCAAAGTAGCATTGACCTTGTTGATCTATTGCTTGGCACAGCTGGTATGTGTATAAAGGATTATACATGTAACAACATTAGTAATGATTGCTTTAGATCCCCATTTTGCTTACTCAAATGGTTGGTGTGGGTGGTGTTGTGCCCATGCGTATCTGTGCATGGTCCCCATACCTCGCTCAATTCCAGTATCACCCCGATCCAATGCATTTTGCGGCCAAATCGTTCATGCTTATGCAAATAGCAGCCTACTTTGCCACAGTGGGTGCAGGTGGATGTAAGTGTCTTTTTGTGAGCTCCTTAAGTCCCTCGTAGACCAACTCACAAACGTTTATAGTCTGCATGATTTATGCATTTGGGATACTACGGCGTGCAACCAAGGATCTTCTTCGATTACGTCGTGGTGATTATGGCATTTTCAAAGGCAAAAAAGACAATGAGTAAGTACAGGTGCATTGATACATGAACAAGAGATGACTCATATTAGTCTCCTAGTATTGATATTGATGATGCCATACGATTTCTTGGTGTTTGTGTTGGATTTGGTATGTGCTACCGTGATGTATCCTTTACATCGTACGTTACCATTGACTCTGGTTATGAAGGTTTTACAGGCACCATGTATTTTATGGTGGAGGTGGCATTGATCGGAACAGGCATTGCCATGCTGATACAGCTTGATCATGTACGCGACTTTTTATTACATCGTGTCGGCTATGGTACCTTCTTTGCGAGCTTTTTTGTGGCATTGGTCGTACAAATGATCCAGAAACGGATCACAGGGATTCTGTTTCTCAAGGATGGTTCTCGTTTCAGTCTCCAGAATCGCGCTCCTTTCCTCCATTATTGGTACTTTATGATGCTTACATCCATGACTCGCGCCTTGACATCGTACATTATCCGCACCCTGAAGCTCGCCCTGCGATATCCTCTCTTTAGTTTACGTGTGGATAGGAATGCTGAAACGTGGTCTGTGCGTCGTGGTGATGGTGGTTTTGTAGGCTATTGTGGCATGGTATGTGTGTGTGCTACCTAATACGACGAGGAATAGCAATTAACAGCCCCTGAAAATATAGTTGTTGGCCGAACACGAATACAACAACCCCGTTCTATTGGTCTTTATTGAATGCCTGCTACCTCATATCCATCCAAAAAGGCCTTTTCGTTATTGTAATGTGCACGACCCAATGAAACAGCAGGATGATAGCGTCTATGGATCGGAAAAGACAACCTTGGTGTTATCCTCTCGGGATGCAAAGGCTATCAGAGCACGAACACGTTGGTTTCTCGCCTACACTCTTATCCACAACCCAATGGCAAGTACAAACGCGTTTATGTTGTAATCCTCTCACCCACTAATGATTTTATGTATGTAGATTCGTAAATGTAGAAAACATGTGTTGAAGGCCGTAGTGGACAAGTACAATAGCTAGTAAATTATACATAGCAATGAAAGGGCTATTTACATGAAAGCAAGATGTATATCAGAATGAGAAGGAGGAGGAGGAGAGGGGTTGAAAAATGGTATTATCTTTGAACAGCGAGAACTTGAATACGCCATCCACCAAACCAGGGCATGCTCCACAAGTATCGTATGTGCATTTGATCTGCGTCAATAGGTGTGGCTGATGGCATAAGGATTCCAAGAAAGAGGATGAAGAACAAAAACATGACCAAAAAGCCGATGAGACGTGAAGACAATGAGGATGGCTGAAACAGGGCACTACTTGCAGTGCTGCTGGCACGTTTGCGACGATTGGAAGCAAGATCAGATTGAGATCGCATTCGACGTTGTCGTAGTTGGACTTGATTCTCTGCATAGAGAGGTGGTGTACAAAGTTCCTCTTGATCGGAAAGGGACGAGATTGACATGGGTGAAGAAAATCGATCATCATCGTTATCATTATCGTTATCGGCGTCATTGCCATCGATCGACATGAAATGATTGGATGCACTTCGAAACGGTAACAACATCCGTGCACGGATATCCTAACAATTATACATGCATGTGAGCTCTTCATTGTCCAAAAAGGGAATGGTGTGATTCATGCATGAACTTACATTGACACCTGCTGAGACACCGCCAAGTGCAGCTGCTACCACGCCACCTCCCATACTTGCTGTTGGTGGTGGTGGTGACGAAGATAATAGGGATTGCTGATCCGTTATCTGTTCTTCAGCCAACATTTCATCATCGGATCGGTTTTCTGCTTCTGGACTATTGCTGCTTGTTGTAGCCATAGCAACGCATTCGCTTGTACCGCCGGCTTCAATTTCACGCCCATTCAATAAAATCAATCCACGCCATTGGTTATCCTCTTCTCCAAGCACACCAGATACAGTCAACCGTGTGCCACGCTTGTTAAGGGATTCTTGCTGTACTGGACCAAGCGACATTTCAATGATGCATTCACGGCTGGTAAAACGTGACATGGATGATGCTGCTGGTAGATAAAGTTCAATAGCATGCTTCTGGGGTATCTTGCTTGTGTTGGCAACAAGGTGAGATGGCTCCGGTGCAAGTTCAGATACACGAGCGAATAATGATCCTGATACATCCTTTTCTTCAAGTCCATCATGTCGCGTCATTTTGGCTGTAATCTCATATCCTTTGGCATAATTGCGCAAATCCACAACAGCGTGCACCAATACTAAATCCTGTTCCACCATACTATGACCGCTGCTGTTGCTACTGCTTACACTTCCAGTGTCGGCAATCGTCACTGATTTTCGTCGCTTGTTGGCAGCTGTAGATGTGGGCGATGTCGCAAGTTGTTTGGATCGTTGAAGTGACACGCTGAGATTGGATCGAGCAGGTGGAGCTGTTACCTTTTTTGCCAATCGAAAAGTGCATTGCGTATTGAATTCACACGTCTTTTGGTCATAGTTCTTGTTGATCGTCTTCCATTCAACAGCTCCATGGTCCGCATAAAGCTCTTTGATGACTTGGTCGGAAAGCTGTTCACTGCCAAAGCCCTGGATATCCAGTGGTTTGGTAAGATAAGGTGGTGGACCATTTGACTTTAGGTAATTCTCAAGTGCCTTGATCTTCTTGGGTAATCCGAGGGCTAATTGATTACTGAAATAGGCTGGCACCGAAGCACCCAAATCGAGACTTGCCACAAATGTCGCACGTGTGGATGGGATGGGATGATTGGTGGTAGTAGTGTATGGGTCAATTGCTTCCAGGATCCAGCCTGATATACAAAAGAGAGCTTGTTGACGCTTAGATGACTTGGGTACAGGGAAATTTGGAATCGATGCTTCAATGTAGATGACTCGCTTGGCTGCAGGATTGGTAGTCGAATTGATCTTTTCATGAGCTGTGCATGCCGCCACATAAATCTCTCTTGATCTACATTGGATACGATTAGATTACTATGTCACATACTCAAAACCTCTATACATACTTGAATAAAAAACCACCTTTGATCACTTGTCGTACAAGGGAGCATCCATGGGCAAGTTGCATCAATGGCTCAATCTCTTCAATTGATTCATCATATTGCTGTCGGAGTGGACCGGTATCCGTAACCACTGACACAACTTCTTCCACTGAAAATCCTTCAATGACCTTGGAAGCCTTCACAATCAATGATGGTTCGGGTATAGCAAAAGGTTCATCCATCACCATTGGGATCTGATCAATGGTCTTGCTAGTGCCTTGACGCTTACTGATTTGCATCCCATTCTTATCAGAGACGTTGTTCCATCCAAATTGTTGATCCACCATCTTTGCCAAAAACGACATGGCTCTTTGAGCGTATTCCTTTGGTGTTACAGGCAATGTTTTCACGATTGATTCAATGCTATCGGCTGTGGTTGGTGGTGTGATGCTGTCTTCGGTTGTAGAAGATTGTTTTGGCTTCTCTTGTTCAGTAGCAGGACTCGATGTCATGGTTGTATTGGTGCCCGTGGCAGTTGAAGTAGTCGCCGCACCTGATATTACAGAGCTGCCACCACCACTGGTAGCAGTTGTATCCAATTGATGGGGCTTATCTTGTATCGGACGTGAAGATGGAAGTGACTTGATGAGTGAGGTGGGTGATGCACCTTTACAAATATCAGCTGGTACACCATTGACCACCAATCGATCGTCACGCGTATCAGGTTTGATAAGAAGTAAAATCTTGCCACGCTGTGGAATGATGTGCTCCTCGTCATGCTCGATCTCAAGCCACCAACCATAAGGATCATAATGGCGTGTGCTTGCATGGACACGTGATGGTGGTGGATCAATCACGACATTATAGCTGCGTTGTCGTTCACCTTGTTGTCGTCCATCCAATCTCACTTCAGCTTTGGTACTACCATTGCCACTGCCACGAGCTGTTCCAAAGATACTCGATGAAGGTGATGACGATGATGATGCTGATACCGGCTCAGCAGATCGTACGTATTCAGCTCTTAAACTCTTTCTTTGCTGATCAAAGGCGATATTGACGAGGCTGCCGTGTTGCAACATGACAAGATCAGGTGGTGCACCGTACTTGTTGAAGTATTGATGAGCATGCATGACGATATCGGGATGGTGACCTGAAAGGCTGTTGGGTATATAGGAGGGAATCCAGCCTTGTGGATTCGCTTGGTTGATCAACCTGACAGTGGTAGTGTTGTTGTCGTAACGTTCAAGACGCCATGCCCATAAATCAAGACGTGCACGCACGTGACCTGCTTGATCTTTAGGTAGAGAAACATGACCAAACGAATCACTGATGCAGGAGGTGGCACAGAAATCGATGCGACCTGGTGACATGTAAGCTGCTGCAAACGCCACATAATCCCTGGCACTGCATAAGATGTACAATAAATGAATGAGTCATCAAGATCGACAAGGCACATTTGTTACGTATGCTACTTTACCTGACAGTCCAAAAGCCTTTTGTCTTATAATGCCATATCGAGCATGTGGGTGACACTTGATGAACAAAGCTTGCATCTTCAAACGTAGAATCCCCTACAATAATAAACTTAGCATACAAGAAGATGTATACCCCACCCTTTCCATATACTTACAGATTTTCCTTGCACCAATGCAATTGATCACCGCCTTGACATCCCATATACTACAATCTCGCCATATTGACTCGCTCAAATAAGCCCCCACTGGATGACCTGATACGTCAAGTTTGCTGATACTAACAAAGAGGTTGGCAGGTTCAGGCGATTGTAACATGTGCCATCCAGTACGCTGGAGAAGACTATCGAAATAGGTATGCATCTTGACAAGCTGTGTGGGCTCCGATTTAGGCACATCAATCTCATTCGAGACCAAAGCAGGTTCCTCTTCTTCCTCTTTTTCCTCATGTTCAATCGGGCTCTCAGTAACAGGCTCACTACAAGCATTCATATTTAGTAACCTATACCACTTGATATCCACATCCACACATTTACTTACGATGTAACCATAGGATCAAGGCTTAAAGGAGGAATAGCACTATCTTGCTTGATGTCTTGACTCTCTTGATCCGACCCACTGGTGACGTCTCGATTTGAAACGAAGCCTTCCATATCACCGGCAAACACGCCATGATCACGATCACCACCAATACCACTTTCACCACTGCTGGTCACTTGATCTTCTTCCTCCTCATCCTCGGAGCTTTCATCAGCATCATCGTCGCTGCTGGTATCATCCAATAATTCACTATCGCTGCCGCCATCATCCACCTTGTCACCATGATTACTTGACCATGCACGACCTTCCCATAATCGAAACGGCCATTCTTTGCCATTGACGTATACTTGATGAAATCCTTTGCCGGCTGATGTAGTAGTAGATGCTGGCTTTAACTTGACGTCCACCTTGATATGCTTCTCAGCGTCACCCTCTTGTTTAATGCTGCGAATAAACTGGGCCGGATGATGCAATGTTACAAAATATCGATAACCCGTTCCATTTTGCCGTCGTCGTTGTCGATAGCAACGGATACAGAATTGAGCAAATTGGTCCACCATCTTGGTGTCAAGCGGCTGCTGATTGAGAGAAACATGAACATCCATATCAATGCATCCAGTGGTGGCCCATGTTTGGTGATCAAGCTCGATCATGACATCCGGTGCCGTTGCTGCAGCTGCTCTGTTCTCAGCGATGTTCTCATGCATATGGCTGCCAAAGGTATACGATGAGCTGAATACATCAGATCGTAGTGTGTGATCCTGTTGCGATTTGGGAATAAGTTTAGGTGATTGAGATGGACGCATACTGCTGGTAGCATAGGATGGAGTGATGAGGAGTGATGATGCCATGAAGCTGTTTTTGCGATGTCGAAGTGAAGAAGCAAGTTGTAATGAAGATTGATGATCCCAGGATGCACTTTGATGATGGTGGTGATGATGGTGATGCTGTTGTTGGACGGCTTGTTTGATATGGATACTGTTCACTTTGGAGGAGGATGAAGAGGAGGTTGAGGAGGAGGATTGCTTTTGTGTAGTGTCGACTTGATAGTGTAAATTCCATTCATGCCGATCGGGGTAATATGCCGTGTTGACGCCGTGGATACCATTATATGGATGACGACGTATAATGAAAGGAGGAGCACCATGCAATCCAAGTACAGAAAGAGGACCCGTTATCAATGACATAACGTATGACTCGAGTATATCTTGTCTCGTGGTGGATGATGATTGATAAAAAAGTGTCACACGAGAATCCAAGGCGGGGTCATCGTCGGGTGACATCCGGATGTCATACGCCATAAGGTGTTGCTGCGTTGTCGATGCTGAAATGTACAAGAGGCGATTCTTCTTGCGACTGGTCTTTTCAACAAACAAATGATCTTGTCCAGTATTCATGCTATTATAAATGTTATATCAGGTTACACATTATCGAATGCATTCAAGATATAAAAAGACTTACACGTTACTTGCTTCGGATTTGTCATTGGGTATCCTTCGTGTGACAAACACGTTTGGAGACCACTGGTTCTCCTCATCCTCATTCTCAACCACTTGTACCCTGTCCACCATGTGATCCCCTTTTTTACATGGGTTGTGTTAGTCTCATGTCATTCTATATATCCATAATCAATCATATACATACACAACTTTCGAGTATCCGGGTTACTGAATAACGAGTGCCAACCGCTTAACGTCCATGGTCGATCAGATTGGGTGAGACATTCAAGCACTACCTTGTATACTGTTTCAGTCTCGGGAATGCCGTTACGCCTGTACATGTGAATACGCGACGATCGAGGAATGGGTTGAGACTTGATCTTGGTCCACTTGTTCTTATGGGGTTGAGTTGACAAGAGAGCATTGTATCGATGTATGGCTGTGTTGAGTGCTTCGGTGTATGATTCACGACGAGTGCTATTGCTTAGTGAGGGTCAACATTGGCATTACAATAGGAACCTTGTTGTCATTCCTTACGTGGTTGCTGTTGGTGGTGGTTGTGGTGGTTGTGGTGGCATAGTGAATTGTTGCTGCAGACTGGTGTGTCCGTAGCAATAAAGAAAAGAGAGAGCACACCTGGTTCCCCGAAAATGAAACGAGCTTCCCCACCTTTTGCCGGACTATGCATTACACCCACTGAAATGTCACGTGCAATAAATCAGCTGCTTTAGATCTTCATACTACTATCATCGACTACGGCTAAATGCATATCATCATTGATACTTGGCAATAATACTTATAGTGATGGAATGTCTAATCATGCCAACAGCACCCGAATTGTGTATACGTTGGCCCACAATTACTGTATCGAGCATCCTTCGCTGTTGTAGGATTAGTGTATATACGTAGACTAATAAAGCATCAAGCCATAGTTGAGTATCTTTCTTTATCATTGTGATTCATATGATGGCGATGGCTAGTGGAGCAGCTATCCATTGCACGTATTTGCTTACAACCAATACATATGGGGGAATCATATAAATTGGATGTGCAGCTTACATAAGGCCAACGGCGTCATCCTTGGGTGAAACATAGCATGAGAAGATGCGTAAAGAGTAGCAGCTGGGTATCAAAGCAACATTGGTGTCATTTTGTCTTGTGTACAGTATTGAAACCAATGCCGTGTATGCATTCCCCCGGTTGAAAACTGCATCAAGCTGCGGTAGGAGAGACACCTTTCCACATGTTCCATGACACTGATGCATGCACGCTGTTTTCATTTCTCTCGGTGGGTATTTCCGTTGACACAGCAACCACACAATGATCATTCCTCTCATGCTATTCTTCAAATGTTAAGGTGTACAAGGTTATTTTTTATTCTTTGCAGCACTACTTCGTCATAATTAAAGTACGTAGTAATATAGAGGGATAGTATACATGATAAGAAGGGATCTTTTAAGGGTTGTGTTTGGGTAGGCAATAAAACTTGTAAATTGGGTGTGCATTGCAGCGCCTGCTGTTACTGCATGTAAATAAATGTATGAAGCGTAGCGGATGTTTGGTGAATGGGTACCATATTATCTAAGCCCACTTGCCGAGCAAAGACATAAGGCCAGCACCAATGTACATGGAAAGGAAACATACGACCTTGTAGATGAGCGATGTGTGGAAGAAGCTTGTGTTGTTGTTGATCTCGTTGGCAATCAAAGAAATAAAGGCGTTGTAAAGCAGGATACCAGCTGCCAAAGAATCAAGAATAGCCTGTGCGAGCACTGAGGATGCCGAGTATGGGTTGCTGCTCATGTTGACACCAATACCAATAGCTGTGCCGATAGGTGTGGTAAGAGCAAAGCCAAGACCTAGGAGAATAGGCTTGAGGAGCGACTTGTACTTGTTGTCATTGATACGAGTACCAAGGGCAATGCCTTCAAAGAACTATATAACGTGATGTGTTGTTGATTTATGTATCAGTCATATGCTATCGTCTTTTGTTTTGGTCACACACACACACACATACCTGGTGGAATACAAGAGCAATGAGAAGCACGCGGAATTCACCACCATCCGCAAAACCAAGGGTCAATCCAATAATGACGGAATGGACTACGAGACCAATTTCGAGAATGATAGTACTAAGATCAAGGAACTTTGAAGGTTCGATGGTGGTGGAATGATTCACTTGGGGTTGTTCAATATCACCCTTGGTAGCACCACTGCCCATGGTGTCAGCTTCCTGAGCATCCAAATGGCCCTTCTTGTGAAGACGCGTGAGTAAACAAAACTCGATCAGCTGGATAAAGAACACAGCGATCAAGGCAAATAGACCAACGAATCCTTCAAAGCCATCCCAGCCGTCACCAATACATGGGCTTTCAAATCTTTCGCTAGCTTCAGGGATCATGTGGATGAATGAAACAGCAAGAATAACACCTAAAAGGATTTATTCATCAACATCATGTCGTGTATACTCTTTGAAATCATTAGCAAACTTACCAGTGCCAACTGAAAGGGTTCAACAAAGATACCAACAATATCATTTAGTTATCAAACGTATGCATACCACGGACTTTTTGTATTACTTACAGAACTTGCACACGGTCAAGAACCAGTAACGGAAACCTCCAGATGCGTAAGGGCTAAGACGATGAAGGAGAATAGGACCAAATACGCCGAGCAATGATGCAGCCATGATAATGAAAATGGCACCAATGCGTAGGCCAAGGTTGTAGTCATCATCAACAGACGCAACACACTCCTCGGCGCTATCAGGGTGCGAATGACCAGCATGCGAATCACCCTCTTCAGCGGCTGCTTCAGCAGTATGATCGTGTCCTGCTTCAGTGCCATGATCGTGGACATCTGTTATATGTATTTAGTATCCCAGGATAATAGGCACGCATATGGATGTATGAACGTACCTTGTGCAAGAGCAAAAGCTACAAGGTATATGAAGGAGAGGAGAGACAATGATCTCTTTGCAAGCGTCGTCATAATAGGTCGTAGGTTGAGAGCAAGAAAAGTGTAGTGATAATGGGTTAGGCATGTAATAGATGCTTCCTTTTTATATATGCGTCACGTAATCCGGCATCTAAAAAGAAAAATTTACAATGAAGTTGAGGTCCTATAATAGACTTGCGTATTGTGATGTGATCCGAGCCCATGCCGCCATATTACTACTGCTGCTTCCTTTGTCATGTGCATCATACCTTTTTGTAACCTAATGATGATGACTCTCAAAGCCAAAGCTGCAAGCTTAGCTGCATGCATATACATGCTCAATGGGCAATTCCACTTTGCGCGCGTCTCTTGCTTATCCCCTCCATCAAAAAGGATGGCTCCACGAGGGGTGTGTGTGTCAAACTAAATCTCGAAATTTTCTGACACATTGGCCAATGAGGGGCAAAAATTTCCGTTGCTTGGGTGAACCTTTGTAACCCTTGAGGTACACAAAATTTCCCAGGTTTCCAGTGTAAGAGATACCCCAGCCAATGAGCAGCCCGAGAGCTCACGCTACCAGGATCATCAGCCATCGTTTTAGATGGGTTTAATACAGCTCTTTATTGTATTTCCTCATGACCCGTGACTAGTAAAGATGGTGTTGCTGATGATTGACATGCAGCAGCGATCTCATCTTACTATCGTTTATAGCCTCTAATGGCAAAGTAATATCCCTGATACGTTGCAAAGGTCATTCATTTTCAAGATACGACTACCATTATGAGTTGCACAAACGCTGTATCGCATCTCAAATCGCATGTTCTTCATGCTGTTAGAAAATTTCGAAGATACTATAAATTTTTTTTCGGGAATGGCTCTCTTTTTCCTAACACGATGTGGAATCGAAACACTGCTTCTGATTTGGAGAATGGTGGTGGTGGTGGTGGTGGTGTTATAATACTTGTAGTAACTAGCAGCCATCGACTTTATAGCACGATATTGCTTTATGTTTGTAATTGATGAGTGATAAGAGCTAGATGTAAACATTCCCGTGTAACGCGTAAACGTCAATGCCCGATGACATTAAGCTTTCGCAAATGTAACAACGTGCCATGATTGTTGTTTGATCCGCCCACACAATAGGTCACGTTACAGCCCGCTCTCGCTATTCGGAACGTCTTGATGGCGTTATCATCGTTGTTGAAGGATCGAACCCATGTTCACTTTGCTATATTTACCGAATGCGGTAATCCATGTGATGATCTTGCCAACGCAGCCGTATGCTGCTTTCCAACACAGCTCGAGATAGCCGTATCTATCGCTTTTTGCTCTCTCATGCGTATAGGCACATATTTTACCAGCTCATTCATAACCCCGATGCTATCTTCCTTGGCACCGAGAGTCAAGATACAGCTCCAAATCAGGGATTTTTGTTTATAGCATGTATATGTCAAACTCGTTTACATTGGAACGGAAGCCATCACATGACGTCTCGACTTGGGGTATCTTGTAGCGGAGCTAGATCCGGACGAAAGCATACATACATAGTAATCCTACCACCAAACAATGAGCTTCACGGCGCATCATCTTTACCTCCTATGTAATAGCTATCTTTTGATTGGGAGGGCTTCGGAAGCTCGTAAACATGCGCGTTTACCATGGTATATTGAGAAAACATGGTTGCTAAGAGATGGACACATTGCACTTGTAAACTTCAGCATGCTTTATTGTAAGCTATAACGTGAGAGCGACACTGCGAGTATGGGTAGGTCCCCTCGAAGATGTCAATGGATCAAGTAGTTGCTAGGTAGGTGCAGTAATACAATGCTAGGTCAACAAATTGGCTTTGGTTATGGTTTGCCTAGCCGATCATTTACCCCTTAAAGAAGGATGAAGAGTCCTACTAAACATGGTAAAAATTCATTGACCCCTTGATACACATGTCGTCGCTCATTGTTGCTCCACCAAGGAAACATTCGTATTTCATATTGTGATATGCGATGTCCTTTTAAGCATTTGAAGAGGTATCTTGCAAGAGGTTAAGGGTTAAGCTATCGCGTGTTTTGAACACCAACAACCCTATACTATGATTACAAGCTGATCAGCAAGCAACCGTTGCTGAGTTACAAGGGCTTTATTTGCTTTGCTAAATAGATTTGTAATAGGGAGCCTATGGCTTTCACCACGACCATGTAGCTGTTGATGTTATGTATATGCACAAAAGCTGAGAATTACTTGCATGCATTCAGCGGGGATCTCCTTTTATCAATGAGAGTTGTCTTATCCAAGCATGGCTGTGATGAGAAAACCAGGAGCTGACCCACTTTCATTATACCGTCAACAGCGCTAGCCGGCCCCCACTACATATCCAACTTGGTCAGGATAAAATGACAAAAGCGGTAAAAAGAGATAAGGTCTTTTTGCACCATTTATTTATGCCGCTTATCACCGACCTCGTTTGGTATATGTACGTAGCATCCTATGCAACAAGCAAATCCACATCCACTATAGCATTTATAGTCCATAGCAACGAGTATGGATCATGTATGTCATGCTATAGCCTTTCTTGTACGTGCCATAAGGATGCTGGTTGACTTTGATATCAATTACCACTAGCTTGCTAATCCATATTTGTGATGTAAATGTACACAAATGGATCTGTTTCACGGCAAAGGTGTGCCCATTGTACGTTGTGTAAGTGTATCACACACAGGCTGATGGCTTATTTTTACTCCTTTTTTCATGAAGCACAGCGCTTACGCCCCAGGATCATTTGCGACGGAGGAATTCGGTAATGGAATAGCCTAAAGGACGACGGACAGTGGTAGTGGCATTATAGTGTAGTAATTAAGGGGACCAGCGGGATGATCGGGATGAAAGAACCAAGAGAATGGATAACACAAACAACCTTTCTTGACGTCAAGGCATGTCATCTTGGGAGTTGAAGTGAGATACCACATTCAGCTTCACGCATGTAGCTTGAGTTGGAATAATCAAACAACGATCACGCCTATGCAACAATGATGGCGACAATAACAGGGGCTTTAAAAGAGTGGGATAGATGTAGCTCTGCATTACGCTGGTCATAATCACAAGCACACGGGACCACAACCACCAGTGAGAGTTTGAGTGAGAGGTTTAACTCTGACACATGCGTGCACTTCATAGTCAGCCTTATCTTATCAAAAATCTCATGCTGAGTCAAACCAGCTTTGGGGTGACTAATATGGCTTGCAAACAAGCAAAAAGCTTTTTTTTGATAGATCAAAAGCAAAATGAGCGACATCATGAGGTACTACGATCATTCACCTCGTGACTTTACAAAACAAAACCACAAAAATACATGTTTTTTTACACCATAGATACACGTAAACAACTTCGTGCATGCATATTCAGCCAGCAGCAGCATGATGAACAATTTTGGTTACTGCCGGGAACAGTCATCAAAATGATATTATGCGTAATGCGCACACAACAGCTCCCATTTACGCTAGCGTGATACATACACGGCTTGAAACGGATACACACACAATAACACGGTGGTGTACTTAAAAATATACGTGTGTGCACCCGCAGCACATGTGCATGAATTTGCTGCTGTGCTGGGTCTGTTTAACATACGTTGAACAAGTTTGCATACGTTTTAGGCTTAGACATGTGCCGCTGGCTTTGTGCCACCATAAGATGTGTGTGTGCCATTTGCAAACGCATGGGACTCTTTTTTCAGATTTGATGTTACTCACACGCACACACACAGCTTCCTATTTATGTTACACAAGGGCATGCAGGGTGGAAATGCAACTTGCCCAACCTTTTTTCATGATCCGCAAGCGGCACCAAGCACCCACCACATATGCATGCATACAGTAACCAAAGAGACTTTTGCTATTCAACATGTTGTAATGGGATATAGAAACGTTTAAGCAACGTCGTTGTACTGTAATATTAGAAGAAGTTATATCAAAAGGAAGAGAACAAGAGGTGGAATATACAAAGAATACTATGAAGGGAGAAAATCGGAGACAACATGATGGCGGGAAGAAAATGGGTAGCATGGTATGTGTGTACGTGAAATGAAAATAGAATTGCAGCCGTGCTTACTCTTAGTTGAGCTTGCCCATGGGAAGGGTGAAGTAAGAGGATTCCTTGGTAAGCATACCAGAGAGGCCATTGTACCAAGCAATGATGGAAGTGATCACACCAAAGGCACCACCAGCAACCTTGGTTGGGATGCTAGCATTGTATTCGGCAGCGGCAAGCAAGATAAAGGTGATCAAAAGCATGAAGAGCAAAAGCACCATGCCAATGGATGAACGATGAGCAGCGATCAACAAAACGGCGGTCATGATAGCCCAAGAAATCAAAAAGATCGTAAGAGAATGAGGAAGCACGTATTCGGGGACACCTGTTGCCTTGTATGCTGCATCAATACCACTCCAGGGAATAAAGATCATGGCGTACGACAGCCAAAAACCACCGTAACTCGAGAAAGCTGTGGCACCAAAGGTGTTACCGGTTCTGAATTCCCACATACCGGCCAAAAGCTGCAAGCAACACAAGCACAAAATTGATCAGTAAAGTGATTTCCAGAAAATAAAGAGCTTAAAGAGGTATAATTTACCTGGACAACACCACCATAAAACAAAGCAAGGCCAACAACAACGTTGCTAGGACCATCGGCAGGAAGACCGGCACCGGCGTTGTGAAGTGACAAGACAAAGGTGGTCAAAGCGAAAGAGCTCAAGCCCAATGGACCAGGATTGGCAATGACATAGTTAGGCACCACAGCAGGTGGTGGTGGTGGTGCCATTTGCATCTTAGCTTCAACGTCTCGAAGCTGTTGTGGTTGTTCGTGTTCAGTAGCCATAGTTGTGTGTATGAAGGAAAAAGAGAAAGTGATGGGTTGTAACATTGCCATCGATAGGTGGGGGTTTATATACCGAGTAGAAAGTTTTGGGCGGCTGTGTGTGGCTTCATTGGTCAAAGCATCAAAACACCGCCCCCGCAGAACAACTTTTCAGGTAAGGTCTATGTTTTTTTTTGCCCCTCTCCCCAAAGGCACAACAACAGCTACATCTTGTCCACCGGGATTGTGTGTTTGTTTGCACAAGCACCTTGTCGTTATTCACAGCCACATGCAAATAAAATAAGATTGACTTCTTTGTCTCTATTTTTATCAATGCGGCTTTGACAAGATTCCCGCTTGTGGGCTTCGCTTGAAACCTTTCATTTGATTTTTTTTCCCATTGCACGTATCCTATGGAGGACGATCCTCTTGTCTTTCTCCACATCTGGGTTTATTGGACTTCTTTTTTTTCCAAATTCAGATACCGTTACACAAAGAAGGCGGCAACACACGCACACACACAACATTGGTCACTTAACAAACCATCTTCTTCTGTGCTTTCAAAGCTGTACGATTCCCTTCTCGGAGGTTGGTCGGGGGCACTGCCAAAATGAGTACCACCATAAAAGATTGTACATCTTTAATGTCAAAGAATTCAACTTGTTTTGTGACATAGCTATGGGTATCATACAATGAGAAACAATGCATCCAACCCCCTCCCCCCAAACTTCGGTCCTTAACTATCAACTTCGTCCATTATCGTTTGCAGTATCACCCCAATCCTTTTGTGGTGTTTGAATGCTTAAAATGTTTAACCCTTCGGCGCGCTGAATGGTGTAGCACACCAAGTGAAGGTGTAGGTTGCACACTCATCTGTCGCAATCGGTACGGGATCATTTGCGGGTAAATCCACGATGTTGCCACACATACACAAACACTGGCAACACAAATACTCATGATGAGCCACCCAAAAATATGATGGTATGACAGATATCATCCTTGCGCTGTCGCGTGCCAACATGTTGGTCGAGTTTTCATTCATCACAAATCAGCCCAAACTACAAATGTGCCTCTCTTCCTCAGCCTCGTCTCTCATGAAACAATATTCAATCATCATTCTTCTTAACCAGAAAGCAGGGTCGTTCATTACGTACATGTGTGGTATTGCTCGCCACCTTTGGTTCTCTTGTTTCCATGGTTTCCATGCGTTGCTGTTGTCTTTTCCCACAACCATCATGAGGAGTACCAAGCACATGTGAACAATCGGCATCAACCGTGCCTGCTCATGCGATGCAGTGTTTTATCCTTCAGCCAAGGAGGTAAAAGAACTCGATGAGGAAATTGCTGATTGGGCTTGTTGCGTTGCCCCTGCGTTTGTGTTTCACCTTCCCAACTATGGATTTCCTTGGTGTCACACAAACCCAATTCCGCGGATTAGGGAGGTGTGGACAAGATCAGATGTCTCAAATTTGTAAAATGAAGCTAATTCTGCATCCACATTTGCTATGTGAATCATTTATCTTGATGATGGTGTCAATGGTGTGGCGCTTGGTGAAGGTGCATCAAGGTTGTAATAGTGAAGCTTAATGAAGAGCCCCATCACCCGAAAATGATCACGGCTGCATGCTGTAAATCTTGTAGAAAATAGAATCATGGTGCCCTTTAGTATGCATACATAAGATGCGTGTGCATGTTTTTGTTTATCTTACGGAAGCGTTTAAGGTAAAATTTTCTCTCGTCGATCATATTACTTGCAGCTTTGTGTTCGATTAGTACTTGAAAAGGTTGTTCCATCTGATGCCATGTCATGCAATGTACACACTTTGATCTTCTTTTGTCTCAATTGGCTTCTATGAACGTGCCTAGTGCTTTGTAAGCGGCTAAGTGCTGGGTGTGAATGTCTTATGTAACCAATGGGTTTGCACAACAATGTGGCATGTTGCACAAGCATCAAGTGAAGTGAACTGTAAATTGTGTGGCAAAACCGGGTGTGGTGCTACCCCTCCTCCGCCGAGCCGGTGGGTGGCATATAGACATTTTACCAATCCAAAGATATAGCTACGATATCCACACATGTTGGAGCAACATTTTCTTGACACTTGATGCTAAGCCGAACTCAACCGGAAAGCGTATTCGATTGCTCTTGTGAACCCCTGATTCATGGGACCTACGATAAATTCATATCAGCACATCTTAATGCATGCAGCTCCTAGCATGTGCATTGTGTTTTTACCTCCAGGGGTTCTCTAAGTTTTATGATCTATTATCGACCGCAATCTTTCAGCTTTCCAATATCACATAACGCTCATCAAAGTGCTCTCGATAATTTAGAATGCTATGTGTAGATGTCATCTGTAAAGTATGGTGTAAGGTTTTAGTACCTGCCAATTTTGGATGGCATCGGCAAGATGGTGTACTGATTGTCATCCCCAAAATAACGGCCATTGTGCTGGGTTGGCATTACAACAGCTATTAACAGGAAAGGTGAGTCTGGGGTATTATTGTATGTGGAGCAAGTAATCCCCGCTAAAGAAGTGGGGTAATAAGCCAAATTGTCCCCCGATGACGCTTCTTCTCCACAATGTTCCTGCTGCCTAGATCTATTCCCCGAGAATGACATCCATCCAACAGTAGGGTACAGCACAATGTGATTTGTCCTGCATTCACACGCCTTTCAAACAAGAAGCGTCATATTGTAATGCCG